GGGTGGAGGGGGAGTAGCTGCCTGGTTGTGGCAAAGGATTAGTTCTGTGTTCTCTTCCAGAAGAGATGGGATTGTTGTAGTGCTGTTGGGGGTAGGGATCTGGCTATCGTGAGTGAGAATTTCTCTTTACAGTATGAACAGGAGGAAAGAACGATTTGAGGAAGTGTTTGCTGGTTTTATATTTTTTGTGGTTCATTCTGAAGAACTTTGCTGGGTTGACTTTATCAGTGCACATTTATGTTTGCCTATGTTGTGCAATGTGACCAAAAACACAGTTATACATATACCAAGAAGGTGATTGATAATATTGTGGAATACAGAAAATGCTATAGCTAAATCCTTACAAATGAATTAATAATCATAATCAAAATTATTGTGTTAGTAATAACTGGAAAATTATTGTTGCTTATAAAACATAATTACACTGTGTAATGTTTCTCATTTGATGTGTATGTGAGGCCATAGTTGACATTATAGGCTATGATATTCCATTCAGTCTTTTAGAATAGCACCATGGAGGGTTAAACAAATTAATATTGCATTACTTTTTATTTAGTTTTTAATTGATATATTTTAACCCCTTCCTCACATGCAGTGTGTGAGATTTCTCCAGCAGAAGCAATCTAAGATCTTCTTAAATCTTGACTTTCATGCAAGCGATTAAAAACAAAAAGATTCTGTTCACATACAGTACATAACAAATGAAAAGGACAGAGGCCATTTTTCTTGTTAAACCAGAAGCTCTTTTCTGCTTTCCGTTTTTTTCCCGAATAGATATTCTGTCTTAGTTTGTTACATGTTGCAACTTTATAGCTGTGTCTCCAGCAATGATATGAGAAATAAACTTGCCCGGAAGTTAACTGCTCACTGCATGTCTGTAGCTCAGTGCAAGGACATGAGCTGCTTGCTGAGGCGCTTTTGTCTTCCGGATCATGTAACCTGCCCTTGCACTACGTGACACTGAGTACTGGCTGCTCCTTCACGGATGGAGTCTCCTTGTAGCAACACCCAGGGAGACGGGACTAAACTTCCTCTGGAGCGTCAGTCAGTGCTTTTGCGTAAAGTGCTCCTCCCTCAGGCAAACCCAGCTTTTCAGAGGAACCGGAGAAAACAATACTGTATGTGCGCAAGACATGCTGTGGTCTAACCAAACACTGGGCAATGAAACAAAGGACTTTGATAAGGTCTTTGCTGTGTCCCTGACACAGTGCTGTGCAATGTGTTCAATGTGACTAAGGGCTGTGTTATTGCCCTTGTTGCATGGCCTGTGTGGCCTAGCATTGTGCATTTCGATAACGTTTTTTGTTGTAAATATTTAAATGTGTTCTGTGATAAATGTGTGTTTAATGTGTTACCTGTTGTGGATCCACAGACTCGTCTTATGCTGTCTGTTTTGACATCTTGGATCAGGTTATTCAGCCAGTAGCCTTGCCCTGTGAAATGGGGTTCACCAGTAAGTCAGGTGGGACAGGGGGTGAGGCTAAGAGTATTAAGCCTGGCCTAACTGGGGGGACCAAGAGAGTGTTTTTTCTTATCGTTGTTTGAGTCATCCTCCAGTAAAGTTTTGCACTCAGCTAACTTTATATTTTGGTGTCCTGCCTTCTTCTGTGACCTGGCTGGCCACAGGTGGCCACAGGTGGTTTGTGGCCATGTCACAGTCTGGCTCATATCACTCTTACAGTACCACATCCTTAACCATGTTCTCAGACACCTGTACAGACTGGCACGAGTGCATTCTCTCCAGCAATAATCATGCATACCTCGTACACACATGCCAAAATAAACCACAAGTCCCAAACACCAACTTTCTTGCGTGTACAAAAATTACTTTGAAGTCCTAATGTAACTGCAGAGGCATGAGCAGAATCTGTGCATTTAGGCAGTCTCCACATATGTCATAACTTGAAAAGACAAGATGTCCTTCCAAGCACATTCTTGTAAATTGTTCCTGACACCTACACTGGAGGTCACGTCCTGCCTGGTTTAGGTAGTTCTGCTACAGTGGAAGTGATCTCTGGATTTTCCTGGAACTTCCATTGACCGTATGGCAGCTGCATTAATCTCGTTCACGAGGCTTGGTCTTTGGGTGCTCATCTTGTTTAATGTGGCTCAGACAGAGGTGAACCGCTACTGGAAATTCAGTTGCACGTAAGACAGAGGATACTGCTGTGGAGCCACAGCTCTCAGAAAGACATGTGGGACATGTTTCCCATTATCTTTTCAGGTTGTGGGAAAATAAAATGATAGGTTAGGGAAAACCCGGAAAAGCAATTGTTAGGAAAACAAATGAAAATATGATAGGAATTGTCTCTTTTTAGTGTTCTTGGTTTTGGAACAGTTTTAACAGTTTAGCATAGAAAAGGTACAGTATCTTGGGAAAAATTCAGCACATTAAAGTTCATTTAAAAAAATGTGTTGAAATTTACCGAGTTTATTTCAGTTGTCTAATTGGTGATGAAAATATGATAAAGTTTGAAAGAAAATAAAATAAAGTTTTTTATGCAATTAGAGGTCTTATGAGAATAATGTATACAAGTTGACTTGCAGTAAGAAAGGTTACAGATGTTAAGATACTATTTCACAGTTTTCCAGCCCTTCTGGTTAAGTGCTACCTTGTTCTGAGTCCATGTGCATTTATCCACGCAAAAGGTATAAACAAGTGTACTGTAGGTCAGAGCCTGCAGCATTCGGAACTCAAGATGGATCTAAACCATTTACAAAGTGAGTCTTATTTTCATAACTGCAAATAGAATCCTTGTTAGGCTGGGTCTGTAAGAGACCCAGTCACAGATCTGTAGCTCTGTGTTTAAAATGCCAAACTGGCCCAGCCTGGATCTGTGCCTTCAGAGCTATACAGTGAGAAGTTTATTTACCTTTGACATGCTCTATAAAGAGTGGTTTCAATCTTAAAAGCATTCTGGAAGGGGGACTAAAAATACAGTGAGATCTAGGCGTGAGGGACACACTGACGATGACATATTGCTACAGCTTTGTAGCAGTGTCTGTTATGTTCCCATTTAGCTGTTAGTGAATTTTCACACATCAAAATCAGTATCTTGGACCTAATAAGTCCATTCAGATTTATTGTAAAAGTAAAAAACCAGGCTCATTTCCTTAATTGCCCAGCTGAAGCAACACATTGCCCCAAGGTTTTCTATGGACTTTAGTTTTCTTGCTTGTCTCCTTATTAGAAAAGGACGTACTGTTTATTCTGTTACACGTTTGGACTCAAAACAGGATGTGACAGCTGGCTATGGGAGCAAAGGTGTCTGCAACGAAACCCCAAGGCTTTCACGAGGGTTTTCAAAGGTTTTTGGCACCTGAGCCAAACTTGCTCCCTTTTCTTGTGACAGCAACAAGAAACAAAGTTCAAGGTGATTTTTTTCCCTCACTGCAGCACTGTTTTAAGACTGCTTTCTGGCTTTTGACAAAACCCTGCAAGATTGTCTCTATGGTGCACCCAAATCCCCCAAGGACCAAATCCCCAGCCCAGCCTCTGCCACTTTGAACTTAGGCTTATGGCAGTACCCTGATGTTGCACGAATTAGCTGACCACAGCTAATTCTTACAACATCATAGGGGTTTCCTTGACTTGCCACCCACCAGAGACCCTTGGGTCCTACAGGACTGGCTTACTTTAAAAAAGCAAATCCTTAATTTCCCTAAATCTCAGTAAGCAAGTATTTCTTCCGTCCAGTAATCCTAAGGACACTCTCCTTCCCCATAGTCAAGAAATGTGTTCTTCCTGTACCCTTCCTGCCCTGCAGACCCCACAACTTCAGACAGATACCTTTTACAGGGGGTGTGAGTGCCCATTCTCCAAGTGCTGTAAAGGGGTGTTTCTTCATAGTGGCTGAGATTCCCAATTGGGCAGGTACAATACAAAAAAGTATTTGTTGTTTCAACATTACAAAAATCCATTATGGGCAGAAGCAATGGTTTGAGGGTTGTTTTTGTTGACACTCTAGAGAGAGGTACTGTAGGTAGTTTCAGATTTTGGCAAGGTTATGTGAAGCGATGGGATACAGTCGTTGTCACTGGCTACCAGTTCTCAGTAAAGAGGGAGAGACGCTGTCACACGCCTGCTGTGTGTACAGATGCAAATTAGTGCAAATCTAACTGCACAGCACGTCATCTCTGAATAACATGCAGTTCTCCCATAATGGAACGAGATGTGTGCTGAATGAGGTGGGATCGACTTCATTAGATTGACATTTTTCGATGTTACCTTAACAGAATGTCATAATGGATGAATGTGAACAGGCTCAGATACTTTGTTAGAGAAAAATACCAACACTGTCCTATCGCACGGTGAAAGGCATAATGTACAGCTGTGCAAGAAAATTGCAATGCTTTCATTATTTTCACTATTGCTCTGGGTTGAGCTGCTAACTTCAGTAACCTCATTTATCGCTGATGACCATTGTAGATGTACGGCATGCGCAAAGTTTGGGTTGCTTTAATTTTTAACAACATAAATGTTTCAAACTGGAGGAGGCCAGTCAGCCTCTCTAGCTCATTTGGTAGTTAGTAGCTAAATGATCTGAGGGTCTCATCCAGCTGGTTCTTTAATGAATCCAGTGTATCAGCTGCAGCAAATTTCTCTGGCAAACTTGTGCCAGACCCCCACAATCCTTTGTGTAAACAGTGGCTAAATTCCCAAGCTCAGTTTTAAATGCTTTTCTTCCTATTTCCCATTTTGTGTTGTCAGGTTTGTGTTCTTCTGGTAAGATATAGACAAAATGTAATACAACATATTTATTAGCTTTTCACTGGGCTAATGCTTGCCTTTCCCCATAGAGATTGTATTACTGTATATAATAGCTCAGCCTTGTAAGACAAGGCAGCAAGGGGTTACTTATCTGTCTGGATAAAGATCCTTGCTGATACACTTTTATGCTCTGTGTCTGCGTGCATATGGGTTTGGGGAGGAGGGGGGACTTCAGGAAGAACTCCAGCCAGTCAATCTAATTTTGAGTCATTGATTTTGTGCTGCACAGAGAGGAGGACATGCTGACGCGGTGTCTCCTTTGAGCAATAGTGGGCCGAGAGGAATACTGATGAGGCCGAGAGGGAGGTGGGAATGCGCCGCAGACACCGGCTGTCTCGGAACGTGAGTGGCGGAGGGCTGGGTCGGGTGGCAGTGCCCAGAGCACGTGTCTAATCGGCTAATTACAGCCGGCAACCCCTGTGTGATGTCTCATAGCCAGGAGGATGGATTCTCCAGGTTAAAGGGCCTTCTGCCTGCCTATCTGTGGTAATCACCCCCCTCCCCCCTCCCCCCTCCCCATCTGCCAGGCATTAATTGCTCATGTTAATGAGAAAGCTGGGTCTGTGCAGTGCTGGAGTGGCTGGTCCAGGGAGACGCGGATGATGGCAGGTTCTGTAGCCGACTTCCAGTATGAAAAGTTCACCCAGCCGCTACTAATGCCTGGAGAGATTGTTGAAGGGAGGTGGCACGCATATTGAAACAGAGCAGCGTGACTTTCTCCTTTCCTGCGAATGTGCTCAGCTCGCAGAAGGCTCACAAATTCAGGAAGGAAAACCAGTAAAGTGCTGAACTTGAAATGAAAAATAAGAATCCTGTGTCATCCAGGGTTAAAATTGGCATGATTACAGTTTAAAGCACAGTTTTTATATTATATTATCTAGATACATGTTAAGGTCACTTTCTTACTCTAATCCCTGGCTTTAACACATCTATAAATAAAACATCCATATGATACTGTATATCCCAGTTTTGTATGACATGTAGATGCTAGGTCACCTTACCCTACTCCACCATGGCAAACGTACTGGCAATTTACTTCCTGAGAGGATATGTATTAGCCAGCTGTGACCAGGATCTCTGAAGTGGTGGCATATTTCACGAAGGAAGCATAAGCTGGCCAAGGTACAGTATCCTTGTCTTGCTGTTCCAGCAGGGACTCCAGGAGTGTTCTGAGCAGCAGTAAGCTTGCAAATTTTTCATTTCATCAATGAGAGCTGCATCTACCCTCGCTTATGGTGGACCTGTAGGCTGGCGGTGGAAGAAGAAGGGACCTGATGAATGTTGCAGAGCATGAGATCACACCGTGCCAATGTATGGACCGAAGTGGACATAAAATTGATTGGAAGAGCCTACAAAATGTAATTCGTAAATATTGAATTTAAAGGACCTTTTCCAGATTATTGGCCCTAAGCTTATTTCTGATCATGTTTTGTCATGTGAAAATTAATTTGATAGTGAGTCAAAAACAGCTTTACATCAATTCTGGAGCAAAGAAATACAATCTGCAAATGTTGATGAAGAATGTGGTAAATTTCATGAGACTTCCCAAGATAATTAGTTTCTTACATTTCTTCATGCAATGTGCAGATTCATTTGTACAAATTCTTGAAAACATTTGTTTTAATTTTAACTGTATAACCTCCCTTAAAAAAACACCCCCTATAATAAAATAAATGCTTTGTGCAGCTCTTTTGCTGTGTCTTTAGTGCTTGGGGGATTGGTCTGGTGGTGGAGATTTACAGATCATAAAGAAGTACAATATCAGTATTGATCGTCTAACTAAAGCAAAAATTATCTGCATGCTTATAGTTCTCCTGGGCTGCCACATCCTCAGTGCACGCACACACATATGATCACATCTACACATACACATACTCAGTATACACATACATTTGCACAATGTTTGATCACAAAACAGACATGCTCAGTATACACGCACGTATGCGTATATTGTTTTATACACATGGGTTTTTCCAAGACACGTGTATGCACAGTATTTCTTGATCACTAAAAAAATCATTAAAAGGTTGTGTAACAAATATAAAAGAAAATAAATGTTGGTCTTTCTGCCTTAAATATTTCAAGCTTCTTTTATCTGGTTCTTTGAAGATTTCCATTAACTAATGGTGATAATGTAGCTGCTGATATCCACCAATTACATATTTTAACATTTTATATTTTAGCACTCATTTATGGTTCTAGGGCAGTGCCTCTACTGCGTTGTTGTTCTTTCTTTGTCAGAGTTATGGCCTGGATTAGTTTCTACGGATTTTATGTTGTAAGTTGCCTGGATGTACAGTATATCCTTATTATGGTTTAAGATTTCTCTTTAAACAGATATGGAAATGTCAGAGTGAATCATGTTTATCCTATTGGGCTGGTTTCTGAAAGTTGTAATCCTGTGGAAACAATCCTGTTTGTATTGGAAAGATAAATAAAAGAGCCCATCTAATGTCTTAGAGCCTTTCAGCATTTTATATTAATATCTCCACAGCTGTTTTTTTTTTCCATTCAAAGATTTTTTATCAATACTATCCTCCAATAGTTTTTAGAAGTTGTACTTATGTGAACAGGAAGACAATAAGAAGTCTTGTCATGTCTATCATCATTACTAGCCCCTGGAGCCAGGTGTTATCGCAGGATTTTCAAGCCTGTCTAATAGCAATATTCTTGACCAGATGTGGGAGGGCTTAAAAAAAATAAACCAGTTGAAATTCATAAAGCATTTCTGTGAGATCTATCATCTGCCTTGTCATTAATTATAATTGCATCTGAAAGCTCCAAAAATTAAACCTGGAGTCAGAACTTGAGAGCTGGTATTATTTGGCAAAGACACGTAGATCACAGCTAAGGCTGCACCTTCTCCATTCTATCTATGCAGATTGAAAATGCACAGTGCTGTCTTGTACATCTCTGACATGGGATGGTTAATTAATCCTGCATCTTTAATTAAAGAAAAGTGGTAGTAAATGTAAGATTGAGGCTCGGAGGGTTAAAACACTATGATCATAATGTTTGAATGCCTCTCAGTAGCAACCTGTGGACAATTGCCTTAACTTCACATTTCCATTTACATTGTGTGTAGGCTTCTGAGTGCAAGCTTGATAAAGTTTTATGGCTTATGCCTTTTATTTTGGTTTGCTGTTGTCTACTATCAAGTGATTTATTTTACTAACTTTTACTAACAAAATGCAACATGTTGCAAAGTGCAAATAAAAAAAACATAATTCCCTCCCACCCCACACAAAAGACCAATTCCACTCTCCACTCTCCACTCTCCAGTTCCACTCAGTGCTGCTGTTCTCCAGGATTCTGCCTACTTGGTCTACTAAACTGTGGTCCAACAGCTACAGCAGAGCCCCCTTGCAACAAGGTTTGGTTGTGCCAGCAGCAGCACTCCAAGCCTCTGCCAGCCCCCACTGGCACCATTGATTCCCACAGTCGCAATCCTCCCATCGGTGATCTCAAGACAGGCCAGGAGGCCTTGACGCCAGGAGAGGGGATGTGGAGCAGTCAGACCACCCAGCCAGATCTCTTCCTGCTGCTGTCGGAGGCCCAGGCCCAGGGGACCGGCCCCTAGTAACAGTACAGGTGGACAGGGATGATCCCTCTTGAGGATAATGCACAAACGAGAGGAGACTTCTTCCTAGAACATGACCACTATCAGTGGCACCTGCAGTGTGTGAGGAGGTGCCTACAGGGGACTCAGAACCAGCTTCAAGTGCTTCCCTCTACGAGGGGTCAGGTGCACTCTGTGAACTTCAAGTTGAGTGTTGAACTTAAGGAAATTTAAGTGGATCAATGGTTTTGGAGTTTTGGAAGCAAAGTTTTTATAACCTCAAATATTGTTCCATGACATACTGTACAATAGTTAAATCTGTGACATTTAAGTCCCTTTTCCAGGTTGAAACTGCTGCTAAGGGTTTACTTCATGCCTACGATAAAAATAAGCAAAAACTGAAGAAGCCAATATCTTTCATTAGCTCCTGAGGCCAAACGGATTATGCTTTTTGTGCAAAACCAGCTTCGCCACCCAGAACTATAAGCACACAATGCGTGACAACTAAATCAGTATGAACTAGTTGTTTTCATTTTCTGATCTGAATGTGCGTTTCAGGCTGTGGTGATACTGAAACTTCACATCTTAAACAAATAACAGGTTGCAACTACAGGGAACCCTGATAGAATTATTGGTAGTTTTGTGACACTTTGTGGTTTGAATAAAATAAGCTTCTTAAAAGTGTCTAGTACTGTATGTGTTGACTTACATTTTCTGGTGGATAACCTTGTGACTTAAAACTGTGTGTCTGCTGAGTTTATAACAAGAAGGCCCTTGTTGCTGGCAGTAACACAGGGCTTGTAAGTGGTCATTTCTGGCAGAATCATGTGTTCTATTTCTGCTTGAATGGGAGAGAGATTCAGTAGGTGGTCCTGTTGGCTTTTCTTTACATTATGCAAAGAAATGGCAATGAGCTTACCCCTTCATTACTGTCCACTTTACATCATCACTTTAAACAATAAGACCGACTGGGTCAGGATGATGGGGTGGCCTATGACTAATTCAGTTCAGCTCCTTTTTTAAAACCGCTACATCATTTAAAGGCAGTAGCTATGAGACATGGGAAATTAACTTCCCTGATTAGAGGTTAATGGAAATCACTAATCATGGGAGCTGGTAGGAATGGCTATTGCAGAGCTGTGCAGGTGTAGACAGAGTCATTTGTCTCTGTTCGAGGAGACGACAGGGATCTGCGCTCCGTGAGGTTTGGGCTGCTGCCATCAGAGTGTTTACAGAGCCAGGGAGTTGAGCAGCACTTCAGACAACCAAAAAAGGAAAGGGTGTTCAAAGCGTTCCAGCTCGAAATTCTGAAGGCTCCAGGGATGGAGAATCAGATTGAGAGAATTTCGAACGTTAGTGAAATTCCTTCTAGGAAGGGTCTTTATATGGAGCAGAAAAGGAGTGATCTGCTGGCCAAAGATCTTTTCACAGGAACAAGATGAACATGTGACAAAGGCAATTATCTAAACAACTGGCCTGCTGTCCTTCTATTGTCTGCTGATTTAAATTATAGAAATTCTATTGTATTATTATAAATATACAGAATATAAAAACTAGCATTGATTCAGACACTATAATTCCGTGTTCTGAGTCCCTGGGAATAAAAATAATGGGTAGATAAATGTTATTTTCTGAAGGGAACACAAATACAGTATGTATTCTTGATGTACAGTAAATGAAAACTAAATATAATAAGTTGCTGCATGAGAAGCAGTAATGATGCTTCAATCGATATCTTCCATTGATTGTAAAAATATTTTTATGCCATTGCTTAAAATAGTCGCACCAATGACCCTTTTCCCCTTTAATCCTCTAAACAGAGCTTCCCTGTTCAAGGGTCTCTAAAATGTCGGCAAAGGATCCCAGAGGAAATGATCACAAGTGTGGCAATGAGAAGTCAGTGACTCTGTCACATGGTTTTGTCAAAGCACTGTGGTGTCCACATGTAGGAAACTCCTATTCCTGGGAGGCTTCGCATTCCACAGTCACATTCCACCAAGACTGATCTTTTTTTTTGTGCCTGTTTTTACTGGTGTTTGTCAACCTCCTCAACTGAGTGTGTCAGCCTTGGTCCAGCATTGGAGCCAGTAACAACCGAGCACTAAGCAAACTACTAAGGTTATAATTAAACCTTTGCCTTTCAAAAAGTGAATTTAGTTTTACTTTTATTTGTCTCCCTTGTATTTATAAGACTATATTACACTAGTGGATTACGGTCTTATATTGCATTATATATTACATCAGTAATAAGGTTATAGGTGTTAAAAAGTAGACTAGAAGAGAATTGGACAAAGATATATTTCTCAAATACAGTAACAAAGTTTATTCTTAAACCATGTCCTTTGTTTGCATTCTGTTTCTGGAACTGCATTTTGACAGACTTTTCAAAGGTTCAAAACCAGGGCTTCTGGATTTAACTGCGACAGTAAGTGTGTCTGCATATCTGTCTTCTTAGCATATTTCACATCTCAGCCAGGAGAGAAGGAGTTCCAGGAAAACACTCTGTGTTTACAGAAGCACTTGCATGTCACAGCCAAAGATATTGGTTACTCCTCAGTGGACTCAATGAATTCTTTCACTTTTTGGTTGTTTCTCAGGAAGTCTACAGATAAAAACCACCTTGAAAAAAAGCGGTGTAACTTGATAACTTAATAACATAATGACGAGGTAATGCAGGTCTATGAACCGAAACTCAACTTAAAATACGAAACTATAATGCCAGAATTTAGTTCCTGTGATATCAAGGTGGGACATGTCTTGGAGACACCCGGGAAAGTGATCTCTTTTTCCAGAGAAGATCTTATGTAGGAGTAAAAGGAAAGTCAAGTAGTTTTTGGAGAAGAACTGGAAGAAAACTGTTATCCATGCCAGTCCCAGTCAGGAAGAGTCTAGCTAACATCCCACATACAGTATCCTCCCAGGTAGTCTGTTGACCACAGATGCTCATTGTGTGTATCACAGGTGTTTTTCTGGTGATGATTAGCAAAAAGCCAATGCTGCTATTTGCATGTTCTGTTTTAAAAGATAGCTGTGGCATCTGGTAAGAAAGTTACAAAGCCTGAAGATTTATCCCAGATGTTTTCTTTTCATGCTTGTCCTTAAAAGTGCTTTTCATTGTCATCTTAAGGCTTTTATACTTGAATCCCTTTATTTGCCGTTAATTAACAGGGTGAGTCAGCTGAAGGTAGCCACTTGCAGAGTGTATAAGTAATCGCCTGCAGTAGACATGTGAATAACAGAAGATGATGACTCCTTGAATTTGTAAGGATGTGGGTGGGTGATAATGGTAGTGCAGTTCTATTATCTGTGAACTTAAAGTTCTGTATCATAATACAAGCAATAGTTGTTTTTTTATATTTATATAAATAGCTACTTCCATCTGGTTCATACTCTATCATGTACAGTATATACACGAACTCTATATATGTATCTGGCCTTGTTTCATTTTTCTGCTCTACTGTATATCCTTTGTATGAAAGTCCCACATGAGGATTCTTTGGGTGAATACTCTTTGGGTGGTCTGGATTCTGTACACTGGTGGTTTTAACAACAAAGTTTGTTTCACACGTCTGTAAATAATACTC